GAAGACTCTTAATCTGGGGTAGCATACGATAGGAAGGTGGTCGCCCCCGCAGTCAGCACTTGAATATGTTTTACATTGTAAAATTGCGTTTATGAACTTGAATATCACTTTCCATTGTAAAACTTGAAAATGTTTTACATTGTAAAACTGAGTTTATGAAAATTTGTAGTTATCTACACAATCTGCTTCATTGTATCTCACTCCGGTCTCCTCCATGACCGTAAGCATCTTGTATGATATCTGAACTCATATCTTGATAATTACTTGGACGTTTTCTCTGCACCACTGGACCAATCATTCTCCGCGTTCGTTTCGGTTTCCTTGTCTGAACTTGCCGTCTTTTTCCCCTTCACGTTATTTTCTGACCTTAGTATTCAGGTTTCCTATGATGAGAATGATTTCCTCTGATTTCCATTGAGCCTTGACGTTATCCAGTGAGCTGTAAAAGTTATCCGTACATTGTGCTGCTGGTACATTGGAAATATATACATACATTTTGAACAGGAACACATTTTTATCGCTTGTTTCTTGGTTGGGGTTAGGTTTCTGGTTCCGTATTCAGCTCTACACTTCTAACTTCTCCGCCTAAACGCTGAAATTTTATTTAATATTTATTTATTTTTCTCCAAAAGGAGAAGATAGGTTCACTTATCGTCCGGTTTACACTACTCCCCAGTCCTTTGAACAGGTGTAGAGCTTTATTCCTTGTTTCCTGCCTAGGATTGGTTTTCTGGTTCTCTCTAAAATATTTTCCTTCTCTTTCACTTCTCGTAGCTTCTTGCGTTTTAGTGGCATTATCGCCTTGCTTGAATTGATTTAATATATATATATATATATATATATATATATATATATATATATATATATATTGACTGAAGTTTTCAGGGTTTTGTATAAACTCTTTACGCACATGAGTAGATTACGATAAAATAAATATTTACTACATTTATTTGCATTATTTATATTTGAACTTTTGACCTCAGCTTTGTTTGTTTTATCACAACGTTTCAGCTGATGTGTCCCTGACCTTCCTCAGGTGTATATCGATCCATTAATAAAGAAAGAACAAATCTTCAAAGGCAGCAGCAGCAGGAATCAAATACATAGGCAGAAGTACTACGGGACAACAGTCGAGCAGGTAAAAGCGTTTTGTTAATTTGGTGAGATCAACTCCTTGGGCGTGAATAAATGAGCAGTACTAAATAAGAATAGGAAGTAAGCGACGTCCCTAGACAGCAGTGGAACGCGAACAGTCTACCCACTTAAATTAAATAAAGTGTTCAGCTCAGAATTCACTGCAGATCACTTAGATCGATATACACCTGAGGTAGGGCAGAGGTCCCAACAACCGAAACATTGTGATAACAACAACAAAGATGAGGAGAATAATCTGAATATAAATAGTTTAATTAGTCAATGTCGATATTTGTTTGACGCTGCTTAGCATGACACAAGGATAGATGTGGAAAAATAGAATTCAGGAAGATTGTGCAGCACAAACCTTCTGCGGCTGTCTGCCTTGATGATTAGCTTTTGAAATCCGGGCGTTTACATCGATCTTTGACTCCTATGTGAATTCGGAATCATTTCAGACACAAGGCAGGTCACAGATTAGAATCACAGTAGAGGAATAACGATGAAGAAATCGATCATATTGACACTTGCTCTACCTTAGAAGCCAATCTATTCCAGGGAGGATTTATTAAAAAAAAAAACATGTCAGAAATTTTATTCAATCAAATCGCTACGTATGTATCGAAACAATATTTTTTGTGAAGTGTTAAAAACAACAACAAGCCTTAATCCCAGTTACCTACCGAGGACACAGCGCCATCATTCAAGTCCCGCAGATTCCCTATGGTGTATGCGGCCACAATTTCAACACGCTAGAAGTTGCTGGTGTGGTTTCCCTTGCACGCAAGTTTTTATTGGGTGGAGTTGCTAGTCGCTATGCTCAACTGATTTGGAATTCAGTGTTGTCTTTTTTCTTTCTTTTTTTTTTTAACTAATACAAGACCCAAGAGATACACAAGATAGAGGGTTACTGTATGGATTTATATTAACGTAGGAAAAAAGAATAAGTGTACGGAGTACAGAGCGGAAACAGATATTAGAAAAAAAAACTGGAAACCCAATCCTGAATAAAAAGTCTCTACTGTTCGAAAGATCTGGAAGGGTGTGATCTGGACGATAGGCGAACCTATCTATTCCTATTATTAGAGGAGAGAAAAAAATGAAATAAATAGTTATCAAATATAATTTCAGAGTTCAGGCGTAGATGTTAGATGTACAGAGTTGAAGTGGGCTTTAGAAGGAACCGGAAACTCAATCCTAAAACGGAAACAAAGGATAAACCTCATCTCTTGTTTAAAAGGCTGGGGAGGAGTGTGAACCGGATAACAGGTGAATCAACCTACTCCTAGTTTGCCTCACTATTTAATCTATATCTGATGGGGTGGGGAGAAGAGATGGAATATATCTTTGTCATGAAAGTGAAATGGAACGAAAACAATTGGAATTCGAACACAGCCTAATTTTTCGTTCGAAGTAGCTAACCATTATACCACCAGCAAGTCCATACCACCATGGACTTGGCTATTTCTGTTGATACCAACTAAAATTTACTTTTACTAGATCAGTCTGTGCATAAGATTTAGCCGTTTTCTGCAATAATGTTAGGTTGGTGCAAAAATAATGTCGTTTTTTACGTTAAGGTGAACGTTAAAAACGACATTATTTTTGCACCAACCTAATAAATCATTTCTGGTTGTAGGGGGGGAAGAACACATTGATGGCTAAAGTCTTTATTTTTCAGTACTTTTAATATGAGAACAATGAGATGCTAGATGTCTCTTAAAAGCTATTTCTTATATTCCCTGCGCCATTCTTTTCTTACAACAACAACTCAGTACCCCGTAATCGTTTACCAAATTAAGTGTTATCAACTGGATATAGTTTAGGCTATTTTTCACCCCATAGACGCTCAAGATACTGAATGAGGTTGTTTTATTATCATAAGATGAGGGAGTAAGAAGCGCATATTATGAGGATATGTAGGATAGATAATATTTGATGTTAGACTTGATGCCCAAGATGAGACTTTTTTTTGTGATTGCTATAGAAATACGGAAGGTGCCTTACTGTGAAAAAGCAGTGAACAAGTTAGACTTAGAAACATTTATAACTGAAGCAAATTTGAATAACAGTAAACGGTCCACATTTCTGGCAAATTTATGTACCAAATTATGTTTAATAAATGTAAATATGGCACAATTATATTTCTCTATGTCTGAAGTTTTAGATGCTGTATTGTAACTATTTACACTATTTACACTGTTCAGAGCGTTGTCCTCATCTTTGTTGTCATATTCACGACGTTTCGGCTATTGTACACTGCGGCCTTCTTCATGTGATATACGTTAGAATTTCGAATCGAATCCTTTCTTTAGTTCATGTGGGTAGATTGTTCTCGTTCCACGTGCCATACCTTTTCTGGGTATCCCAGTTTTCATTTAATTACCTTTAGTAACTCAACTCTCCAAATTTTTGTTCACCTCTGCTGCGGCCAGGTATTCAACTTACAACTCTTTGGTAAGTAATCCAGTGACATGACCCAAAGTGTCGGGATTTTAATACATGGGACATCCAGAAAAAGCATGACACTTGAAACTAAAACATTCTAACCCCATGGATTAAATAAAGGGTTCAGTTCAAAATTCCAACCTGTATCACTTGAGGAAGGCCTGGGCATACAACGGTCGAAACGGCGTGAATATGATAAGAAAGATGAGGACAACAGTCCGAACAATGCAAATAGTGTAAATATGACATTTGTATTTCTGGAAATTTGAAAGTTCTATATAATAATAACCATTCTATTGTGAGGATATTATCTTGGATATTTAAACCTGTTAAAGGTTAAAACTGTAGTGATCGGAGAAACATTCTCTCTGTAATATGTGCCACAAAGCAGTTGCTCTTGGGAAGAAGCTATCCAAATGGAACTGTCTTCTTAATGAAATAAAAAGCGAATGCAGATTGTTCGCCCATGCGTACATGGTATGGCGGGTGTTAGCTGTAAAGAGCTCCAAATTGGCGGAATTAAGGATCGTCGATTTTTAATAACCAGATGAAATCGAGGAATCAAAATTAATTCAACCTGATTTACTAAGATAAATTCGGAGGACAGATTTGGATTCAGCATACATGATTGGGACACCTAGTACATTATTTGCCTGGGTAGAAGAATTTTTTGTTGGGCTATATATATATTGTTGGACTATATATATATATATATATATATATATATATATATATATATATATATATATTAAAGACATTTTATGTTTAACGTTCTTTTTATAGATACATAAACATAAAAACATAAACATAAAAATGTCTTTAATAAATAAATTGCCGGACTTTGTCCATTTCTTAATATATATATATATATATATATATATATATATATTACATGTAGCCTAATTCAATAATACTGAACTTCGCAATCGCCATATCGCCCAACATTTGAAAGCCCATCACGAGGTTACAGCGGATTTCGTATCCTGTGGTCACTTTTTAAAGTAACCTGGGCTAAGTTAAGCTCCTACGTCAATTCGAACATAACGTTACGCTTTAATAGATAGCCCAATTTACTACACGTCGCCCAATTTGAAAAAAGTAACACAAATGGTGGTACCTTGTCTACCATCAAATGGTAGCTTCCAATTTCTCTTCGTGATTCTTCTTTACACCAATTTATTGTTTTCGTCCTTTCCTTTCTTCGATTCATTTCTTCTATACTATTCCCCATCGCGTCACTTCCGTCTTCGTCGCTTCTTTCTGGCTTTTCTGAAGACCATTCTTGATTTGATTTCACAATATTTATCTTCTTTCTCAATCGACAGTTTCAAGTTGCCAAAATTAATTAGAGATTGCTTATATCCGTTCTAATAAGTCTCAGTTATTTAAAGTAATCTTTTGAACGATTGCTTGTTAAAATAAAACACCGACTCTCGTACGATCACCGAAGTTAAGCAACCTCGAGACTGGTCAGTACCTAGATGGGTGACCGCTTGGGAGTACCGGGTGCTATAAGCTTGAACGTACGTGTGGTGTCATGGATAACGGTACGTAAATCCGACTTCCAATTCAAGTTGGGTTCATTATATTCATACAAATGCAAATACTGTGAAAGGCATGATGCTACCTCTTCTCTCCCGAAGCTATGGGTTAAATAGTAGTATTGCATCATTATATCAAATCTAAAAATATTTTCTGACTTTAAATAACTTGCAAAATGAGTAGTTTAGTGATTCAGTTCACTGAATTGTTGTTATCTTATATATGATTGTGTGTGTTCGCGCGTGTGTATGAGTGTACGTGTAAAGTCAATAAGTAAAATTTATAGCAATACTAAATATAATACCTGCAGAGATATAGAGAAAATAGAATGTCTATAAAGTGAATTTTATTAAAAGGACACATACGCTTTCAAATATTAATCTGTAAGGACTGTAAAATAATTTTAGTCTTTTTTTAAATATTTCAGACGGGTTTCTATCTATCTACTTCTCTTTGCCTCTTTTTATATATATATATGATAAAAATATAGTTTTAAGATATGCTAGATTAATAGGTAAAAGCGCATAATATCAAAGATAGAGCGTATGTAAATATAGGAGTGGGCACTGAGGTTGACACCAATCGTCAACAGGCTGTTTGCCATCTTGCGTTGGCCTGAAGACTGCGTTGAAGATTGAAACTCTGTCGCCACTTGGCGATGCCCTTATACAAGTGCGAGTCAAAAAGTGCATTTATTTTATCGTATAAGAAATAAGGAACACAATGAAACGGATACATCTCGCCATTTCAACTATAAAATGAGATCTTGCAGCCAATCTAGTACTGCGTTGAAATTCATAATGTCTAGGTACCACAGAGGAAAGTTCATCAGAACAATTACCATAGAAATAGTTATAGAAACGGCACAGATTCTTCTTTGGATTTTACCAAGAATCTCTAAATATATAGCAGAATTACTAGACCACATGGGGCAGCAGTATTCAAGGCAAAGACAAATGGTAGACATATAAATACGTGAGATAGATTCTTAGAAGAAATTTTCCGATACTGTTTTGTTGTTGAGGATCATGTCTTGAATTAAATTATCGATAAAGTATTTGTTAGTCAAAAGGAAGGCCTGCTGTGTAAGCTTGATGAAAGTCTTTTAGCCTTGTTTGTTCAATTTCAGCAGCGACATTTGCGAGATAAGCAGTTGGACGTTTTCATGGAAAAATTTAAACTTTTTAGTTCACTATTATTGATCGCAAACGCTGCTGTTCATGGTTCATTTAATCGATTTCCTAACAATACTTCTCTGCTGTGATGGTTTCGCCAGGATTCAAATGGCGGTTACTAAAGCGTGATTATAAGGTTCTTTGCGTGCAACTTTCATTTGAAGAAATGTTTGGGGGTCTTTGAAAAGTCAGAACCGGTGATCTTTGAAAAGAAATTGCTGATGATCTCTGGATAGTGAATGCTAGTGATCCTTCTTTTTTTAAGTAAATAGAAGTCTTCTTTGAAAAGCAAACCCTGATGGCTTACCAAAGTATTTCTCAACTCCAAATTTGTAGATCAAAATGTGACCAGAATTCAAATCTGAAGAAGCAATAGCTAGGGATATTTGAAAAGTAAATATTAGATCATTGCAAAAGCTCGTACCTGATTATAAAATGAAAAACAAAACATTATACATTCTCAAAAAAACAAAAACACATTTATTTGTCAAGTACATATTTTCCATTGTTGTCAACAACTGTCTGCCATCGTTCTACAAGCTTTTTGGTACCATTTTCTTAGGAACTTCTGTAAGAAAAAGAAAAATGGCAATATTCGGTACCCGACCAAGAATATGTTCCCCAATCACAGATAACATAATTTGTAGTTTGTTAATGCAGATAAAGTCCTATAGATTTTGACCGAAAAAATCCCAAGTATGAATTTTTTTAAAATAATGAGAGAAATTGTCAATTGATATCTTTAATTTCAAACTTTTATAGGTTTTCTAAGCGTCCAAGTTGTCATTTCAAATCTGTGGAGTAAAACAGTTCAGCACTAAATATAAAATTGTAAAACAACCATATGTTTGGGGAAGAACAGGCTAATATTTACATCTTTTAAGAGCAAATGGTATTCAATGAATAGTCTGAAATCAAAATGGTTGAGCCATACAAATGATTTTAATGTTTTACAATTGGTATATCTTGTAATTTCTGTGGGAAAAATTTAAACGGGAAGATAAATATAATAGATAAATCTTGAACTTCTAAAGCCAGTAATCTACATTCTGTGGCATGGTTTTCTGCACTGCGACATGAAAACTATACTAATGTTATTGCTACCGCTATGAAATTGCGTACATGTTATATTTTGGCAAAGAACAGTTTAGTCAACGTAATAACACCTACAGCTACAATAATTGAGCAGACCTTGTACTGAAAGATGAGACTGGTTCAACTATAAACATGAATATATAAGCATATGTCTTTGTGAATTTTATTAGCTAATGAGTTTCCCTGGGTCTATTGAATGACTCAAGCAGGGTAGCAGGCTTAGAATAGCACTTAGTTGAACCGGCCGCTGACTGCAGAAGTATGTGACCGAGAAACTGCATGCTGTCTTCCCAGTATAGAAACGAAATTCATCACAGAGGATTTATGCCGACAACTGTATTAACCATGGGGGATAAAATGCATTCATACCTTTTTCAAAGGTATTTACGCAGAGGTGGATATAACGAACCCGACTGGAATTCGAACTCAGATCATGGACATAGGAATCAAACTCACCTATCAATATATATATATATATATATATATATATATACATATATATATATATATATATATGAAGAAAAATATATACTGAAAAAACAAACAAAAATCCTTATATACAATTATGCTGTTTTAATGTTAATATGTCAACGTCAGACGTTTCGGTCTAATAAACCATCTTCATGACATATTCATAAATTATAACATTATCAATACAACAACAACGTGACCATGTTTTAAACGGAGCGCTAATCTTATAAAACTTTCAGTTATCTGTTTAGATAAGTCTTGTTCTTATGTACATCGTCTTTGTCATGTTGACTTGTGGCTTCGAGCTAGCACAGCTATCGACGGGCCCCAAGGGTTCCGTCTACACAGTTTCACTCACAAAGCTTGGGTCAACCCTTGGTATGGTTTGTCAGGCACTTTCCAAAGTTGCTGAACGCTGGGATCGACCTTAATCCAGTTCGATAACATCAGGAAGTCCCCTTCCTGAGAAATCGACCATGGTGAGATTGGAATCCGTGTCTCATGGTCAGAATATATATATATATATATATATATATATATGTGTGTGTGTGTGTGTGTGTGTGTATGATGAGTCCCAAATATAGGACGAAAAGGCCGTCCAGTGCTTTCAGTATTCCCTAGAAGTTTCTTCTAGACTCGATGAAATATATATATATATATATATATATATATATATATATATATATATATGAGACAAAGTGGAAAAAGATCCCTGTAACGCATTTCGTCCTTCAGGACATTATCGGGCGAAATTATGTTATCTTGGTAGGACTACACATGCGCACGACAGGAGGGTGCTAGGAATTTTAGATTTTTTTTTTCTCTAGCCGAAATCATTTAAAATCATTTTGTTTTTCTTTCCATCACTATCTAAGTAGGTAATCCACACTTTGATATTAGAAGATCTGCCAGGAATCGTGAAATGTTGTAAGACCCAGGTGCAAATTTACTGTAAAAGTGCTTGCGATTAAAGCACTCTCTAGACATTTGCGTCGCAGTGGATTATTAGTATCTTAATCACAAGCTCATCTACAGTACATTTACGCCCTGGCTCTTACAACAGTTCACCATCCCTGGCAGATCTTCTAATATCACAGCGTCGAATACATTCTTACAAAAGTGATGGAAAGAGAAAAAAAATCTCTAAATGAATTCGGCCAGATAAGAAATAAATAAATAGTAAAAAATTTAAAATTTCCAGCCCCCCCTGGTTCGTGCAAATGTGTAGATCGTACCAACATAAATTTAATCCGATGAAGCCCTGAAGGACAAAGAACGAAACGCGTCACAAGTTAACTTTTCCACTTTGTTATACCATTTCCTCGATACTGTTCTTGATATATTAAAATATATATCATTATCTCATATATATATATATATATATATATATATATATATATATATATATTATAAATTAACTGATTTAAAATATGTTTTTTTCGCTACACAGTTCTAACCATGTTTCAAAAATGGAAGGTAAAAGCTTCGAATATATGCGGTCACTGTTAGATTTTCTGACCTTTTAGATCGTGCTCTCGCTTCTTGTAGACGATTCAGACTAGCACATTGAAAAACGCCGAGTCCACTAAAACACGTTGATCTTCACTCTACCCGTTCCAAGGCTAAGTACTCGAGGATGTTATTTGATCTTTTTTGCTGTTTCGACTGCATTACTGGATACCAGACAACTGCAGCGGGCTGCCAAGTTTCTGTGTGAGAAAGCAATGTTTATGACTCCTTTTATCGTCCTGTCCCATATATATATATATATATATATATATATATATATATATATATATATATATATATATATATATCAATCAGGTAATATTGTTCGTATATATCTTGCATATTCTCTTATTTATTGGTGATTATGAGTATCTTTTTATATTTCTGAGATGAGGTATTATGTACATTATTTACATTGTTCGGACAATCATCCTCATTTTTGTTGCCATATTTATCACAACGTTTCGGCCGTTGTAGGCTCCGGCCTTCGTCATGTAGTTGGTAGTTTCGAACTGAACCCTACATTTCGCTCGCTAGGGTATGTCTAATGGATCTCAATTATCAGTTATCTCCTGTTAATTCCCCTCTCCAAGTTCTCCACAGCCTTAACCAGGTATTGACAAAGATGGCGATGATAGTCCGAACAATGAAAATAGTGATTATGAGTAATTAATCCAATTAGGGAGAACTTTTTCATTTATAAAATTTTAGTTAAATACCAA